ATATGTGGTCCATGCTAGCATAATACCTCTCCTCCTGTTTATCACAACTAACATCAATGAATGAAAACATTATGCTTTGACTCACCTTGTCACTCAAAAATGGACATCTACTGTAATTAGAATTTTCTTTTTTTTTTATTGTAAAAGATTGCTCAAGATTTGCATTATACTTGGATGGAATAGCACAGGTAAAATATGGCACTGTTGAACACAATAAGGATCTTTTGTGCTATTAAATCCCATGTTCCGTCTTTGATTAATTTTGAAATAAAGTGGGTTGCATATGCAAACTTCTAAATATATTTTTTTAATCCTTTCTAAGTATTCATTTTAGGTATGTGGTTGTTGTTTAAACTGTTGATTAGGACTTTTGTGATGGAAAACTGAATAAAAAATGTTTGTGCACAAAAACTGCACAAAAACTGGGCAAATAAAGTTTATTCTAATTCTAAAATACATGAAAGAATTTTAGAAGTCATCAGACTTACTCGAAAACTTAAATTTAAAGCTCAATCCAAAGTGTCTTTTCAAGGGAGGACTGACTACTGTACAAATGGACACCTCACTGTTCAGTATTCCACCCTTAAAGAAATATAATAACCATTAGTCATACATTTTTCATTTTATCATATGAAATCAGAATAAAATATAAAGATATTTTTGGTATAAAGTGGAAAAAAACAAAAAGCTGAAGGTTAGCATACTTGGCAAGGCACTAACCAGTTCCTGTAAGAATCTGATGCTTCTTGTAATTTTGAGGCCATCAATTGATTTTAAAGGCCTCTCAGATAACATTAACCTTTAAAAGCAGCAGCAGTTAAAGAACCAAGTGCTTCATACTTTCTTTGTGATCTTGGCTGGTCTGGCAATAAAAAAAAACAGCTTCAAAACAAAACAACAATGAAAAACAACCACCGCACTCACAGTGATGAAATTAAAAGCAGGCCTGGAAATATCCCATTTTTTCTCAGACAGCATCATCCAGTTGTCTGTTAACAAAATATCCCTCCTTTAACTCCTATCAGCCAATAGGTGAGAGCAAAAAGCTTCTGTGGCACAGAGGAATGTTTGAGCACTGACTTTTTTGTTGGTGGATGAGGTACAGGAAACCGTATATGGGAATGAGTTCCTAAAGCAGTATTTTACTACTGTCAAATGTTTAAGAGCTAAAATAACACTTATTTACAGCTTCAGTTTACAGTGATGTGTTTTGTTGTTTTACACAAAAACATTTGTACACTGAGGGCCGGATCTATCAAAGGTCTGCGTGTATAAAAACGTGAGCTATTTCACTGCGCACGCTAAAAAATGTACAAACTGATCTATCAACAGCGTGCTAAAAGGATTTGGTCTTTAAAACGTGCTAAATAGCGCCTCTTATCCATTTAGTACTTTTTCTGCAATGAATATGCAATATGGGGCGTTTACACGCAAAAGTGCGTCCTGTGGGAGGAGAACATGTAAATATATTAATTTAGCACTCGCAAAGTGATTTATTAAACCTGAAAGCAATTTTGCTAACGGTATCTGACTCTATATTTAACACGTTTCAAAAGAAGGTGCAAATGGTCTGTATGCGTAATTGCGCACACATGGCAGCGGTTATTGTTGCAAGAAGGAGACATCGAAATGAAGCAAGGACACGCAGAGAACGCATTATTTTTAACTCTGTGTGAATATTTTTGGAATGAACGAGGAAACGATCATCAAAACATATCGTTTATCCTGCATTGCCATTTTGGAGCTGTTGGGGGAACTCCGAATGGATTTGGAGCCAGCCACAAGGAGGACCCACGCAATACCAGATATCACAAAACTCCTTGCAACATTGGATCTCCCAATCTAGTTTTTCAGAAGTGCTGTCTGACGTTCTAAATGCCATGTCGCCCTGACGCCCTACCGGAGAACCCCGACACCCTGCGCCTGTGGAGCAACATGCCAATGCTGCGGGGATGCGTACGCACAGTAATCTCATCCACAGTCACTTCTTGTGAGCCATTTGGTATGTGCATTTTTCTACAGGCCAATACAAAACACCAGTTTTTTTGTGTTTTTTTTACTGCAGTGAAGTAGAAATTCAGCCACATACCACCTTAGGGAATAAAGGTTGCCAAAGTTTTCTCTTTTTATATATATATATATATATATATATATATATTTTTTTTTATTTTTTATTTTTTTTTTTTGTAAGATTTAAATTTCTTAATGCACTAGTTTGTACAAACCACAAACTACTTTGCTGCAAACCACAAAACGTGCAAAACCATCATTTAAATAGGGCATCTCCAACAGTTTTGCACCTGCCACCAGTTACGCAATCACTCTTGTTAAATCACCCGCAAACCATTGTTCAGCCCCTTGCGCAAAATTCCAGTTTGCGAGCGCAAATTGCTGCACGCAAAATTGGATCTTGATAAATCCTTGATAATCCCTGATAGTCTACAAAACATGTAATAAAACCTAGAAAAGTAAATACAGTCTCAATTGGATTTCTTCTAAAAAGGTACTACATATTAGTGTATGTAGCACCACAGTTCACTGATGCAGTGCTATACAGGGCACAAGAGAAAAAGCACACAGCGAGTCAGTCTGTGATCTGCCCCAGGTGGCCTGAATATCAGTGATGGTGACTCAATGGTTTTAAATCAGGTCAAAGCTGTAACATCTGAAGCTGATTTTCCATGTGACAAAAACCCTTTTCAAGTAACAGATCTAATACAGCATGGTATTGGCTGTCAATCTGGGATCAAATACAGAGACTAATGCTGAAAAAAAAAAGCATTTCACACATCCTGCATTTAGCCCAATCAATCCTGCTCTGCTGGGGTGTTTCAAGACACACATTGATCGACAGCCAAGATGGAATCTGTTCAAAGAACTTGCTGGAGAAGAAAGGTTGGAGAAATATTGAGCAAGAAGGTGAGTAATGGTCATCCATGAGTGAATTTAGCAAGCACATTTCTTTTTTTTTTTTTTTTTGCTCTCAAAAAGGACACGATAAAAAATTAAATCAGTTCCTAGTTTGACTTAGGTTATACAGTATGTTATACTGTGATTTATAACAGGATTCACAAATAAGCCAAGAGGAATGAGATAAAATCCCAAACCGCATCACATCAGTGCTGGCTGTTTTCATCAAAACATCAAACTGCTTTTGTAGTAAGATGGCAGCAAAATTCCAAGCCCAGAAAAATACAATTCCAACAGTTTACAAAGCACTTGTCCTTGACAGACTGAAAAACCGTCCCCAAAAAAATGATCTGCAACCTCATGACGTCTGAGGCAATCATTCCCAATCTTCAAATGTGACAGCTCATTACAGTGTTTGGCTACTGGCCCAATACTGGCTCACTTGTTCTCTTGTCACCATGAGGACATGATCACACACAATTCAGAAGATAAATGACTCAGCCATGATCATGGCTCAAGCAGTGACACTAATCCTACATTAACCCCAGTTTTCTAAAGTAGCTTTAATTATATTTGACGTTAAAAAGTTTTAATTTCCACACAAACATTAATTCCAATGTTCAGAGTGTATCATTACTGAAAAAAAATCATTACAGCCCAACCTAGCAAGTACCTGATTTTCATTATCTCTCTCTTAAATGGCCATGAAAATGCATTTGAACTCTTTATTATTTGAAACAATTGTTCTTGAAAGATGTAACATATAATTCCATTAGAGAAATAAAACAATCAGCTGCCAGTTAAATAAGTTGAAATTGACTAAAAAAATTATAAAACATTTATTTATTTATTTA